TTCCCTGCATCGGCAGGCGGACTCCCAACCACTGCGCCACCAGGGAAGCCCCTGAAGTGGCTCTTAAATTTCAGTCAGCTAAGTGATACTATAACAAGTAGTTGGAACCCCTGGTGTACCCTCAGTTATTACCAAAGGATTACAGATTACTTATAAGGCAAGTAAGGCCCTCATAAGTTTTGTTTGGCACCAACAATGCTTTTAAAAATGGGAAATTTCACATAAAAGTCTAGAAACTTTTCATTAAGTAAATTAGACAAGGAGAAAAATCTAGATTTTCAGACTCAGGAGACTAGGCAGCACTAGATGCAAGTTCTCACCTGAAAACACTTAGATGGATGTGTGTACTACTCATTTTGGAAAGGTCATATATTCCTCACTTCACCATAGTCCCTACTAGTGTCTCTTGTCTTACACTCGAATTCTTCACTCTTGTTATCTGCCTGGACTCTGCAGGTATTTGAATATGAAACCCTGGTTTATAATATACACTGGTTTTCCAAGATAACATTATCTGACATGAAATATCTGCCCGGCGTTGGCCTGATTAGTTAGAAAAGTATAAATCAAAGAAAAACTTTTGTTTAGTTAGCTAAGCACAGAGCCTGACTTAGGGTTGGGAGTATAACTTCGTTTAACGTCATTAGTTAACAATGTAAGACAAAAATTAAACTCCATATTGGTTAAGCTGGTTATTTTGTTAACCCTCAATGAAGTGAATAGGTATGCATTTTTTGTGCAGTTAGGTGATAGGAGAAATTGGTATTAACCCATTAACAACATAGTAACATATATGTAACTTTGTTACCTGTCTTGAGGTTGCTAAATAGGTCTCCCTTTTCAGTTTAGGGGCACGTTGTCAAAACATAATATTACTTTCTAGGCAAATGTTCATTTTACATTTTGAACCAGTTTGCATTTGTGATGTTATAAAATCCTTTTGCATAGTTTTTATAAGCACAACAGATATAAGCAGTGCATCTGGAAAAGTGAAAAATTACTTCATTCCTCAGCATATATTTGCATAAAGTAAATATAGATGGGGTTTCCACATCCAATTATGAAAGTTTCTCATTTCATACTGATATGAGAGAGTTATCATTGATATTTTAGCAAAAGAAGAGACTTCTGTGGCTACTATAATACACTGAATAACTTCTCTCTCTCTTTTTTCTCCAGTCGCCCAAAATATGTGGATGAAGTTGCTTTCCAGGAAGAAGTGGTTGCAGTGCTAAAAAAGTCCTTAAAAGGAGCTGATGTGAGTAGCAGATGCTGTCTAAAGTCATCGGGAGATTTAATTTATTCACCCTCTTCCTTTATAGCCTCCGGCCCCCTTTAAATACTATCCTGTATATACAGTAGGCCCTTGATTACTATTTGTACAATGGATGATTAGTTCAACAAATATTTGTTGAGCATCTCCTTTTCTGTTCTGTGGCATTGTTATATGGTACTCAAGTGGAGATCATTGAGCAAGACAGGCTAGGTCCCTTTGCTCGTGAGCTTTTATTTTGGTGGGGAGAGACACAGAAGAATAAACACGTAAGCAAAATAAATTATAGAATTATAGATAATGATATAGGCACTATAAGGGAGAGTCAAAGATTCTTTGACCATATGATTGCCCACCTAATTTTAGGATTTGGTTTGAACTACAGTACAAAAAAAATTGAGTCTTTAGTTCTGCTTATGGCATCATGTCCCCTGCTGTGATATGTGGGATAAAATGTCATTGAGTGACTTGCATTTTAGATTAATTCAGAGACAAACCATATGAAGAATTAGCAATTTAAAATTGTATATGATAAAGTGTTTTAAGAACTTAGTGGAAGAAGGGAAATAGTTGCAGGTGAAAGTGGGATGTGGTTTTTACTTTATTCCCAAGATTTTCTTCCCTCCTCTCAACCTGGCTGCTTTGAATTAGAGGTTCCTTGGTTTTTGCAGCCATTGGTCTCTTCCTGGAATTACACTGCAACAGTATATATTTTGAAAGAAGTTATATTTATAAAACTGTTGAAAATCTTTTTCTTTACCAGTATTTTTTTGATTTGATCCAAATATCTTTAGCTTTTAATTTTATAATAGTATATAATTTAAATTGCATGGTAATATTTACACAGATTGCAGGACATGATGTATTTTATTTTTTTTTTCGGTATGCTTGCCTCTCACTGTTGTGGCCTCTCCCGTTGCGGAGCACAGGCTCCGGACGCGCAGGCTCAGTGGCCATGGCTCACGGGCCCAGCCGCTCCGCG